CGGAGGCTGCACTTGCCCCTCGTGCCGCCGTCTCCTTGCCAACCGGGCGTTCGCGTGTTTGTTTTCACGTCTAAAAGGGACGATACAAAGGTGGAGAAAACGAGTCTGACGAGCAGACAAAAGAGGGAGAGGGGCTGGGGAACAAAGTTGTCTGTTGGCCTCAAAGGTTACGAGGAGCCGACGAAGAAAGAAAATATTTGGGCAGTCGGAGCAAAAGCGCTGCCTCTCTCAGGAGTTATGTAATTTCTCAGAATGTTAGCCTCTCTCTGCCTTGATTTCGGGCCATCGCGTAATTCCCACAACTTCTTCAAACTGCAAAATTAGGAGCGTTTAAGTGAAGGTTACCGCATCCGAGGATCTGCTGTGCCCTGTACACAGCAGGTACTCAATAAATGCTGATAATTGACCGAAACTGACCCTACGATAATGTTGGTATACCTATACTTTAAGGCACCAGACATACGTATGTAGGCTTCTCAATGAAAACTCAAAGTATTCCCAAGGGAGCGTCTTTCTTACAGTGCACTTGTCCTCTTTCTAAAAGGATAGTCCTCGAGTGTGAAGAATGGTGTGTTGTGGTCCAAACAACTTGCACATGGAAATTCAACTGTCGGTGCCATAAATAGGGACAGCTAAGGTTTATCTCATATCTTCGTAAATCTGTATGATGCCTTTCACCATATTTCAGAGGTTAATGTGCACAGTTAACCCTCTTGATATGAGTTCGTTTCTAATTTGAAACAAAACTAAAAGACATGCTATATTTAATAAACATTAGATCAATGATGATACAAATCGGCTATCTAATCCTAGCATAGAAATGTTTCTTACTTTGTTCTTTAAAAAATACTATCGTTTTTATCACTTTACAGTGTTGAGTGTTTTTACTATTGTTAATTTATCACCTAGTAACACCTTGAATAGCACCAATAGCAGGACTTCTGAACCTAAGCAATGGCTCAGTTGTACTAGTGTGGACTCAGTTTTCATGGAGAGAAAACATTTGAAACCAGAGCTTTCAAGAGGTCACACTAGCTGAAATAATACACGATTTTGGTAGAATATAGTTTTCTAAAATGACTTCATTCTTCAGCTTTTCATAAAGACTATTTTGTTTTATTTCAAGTATAGTGGTTATTTTTTGTTTGCTTGACCAAGTGTAAATATGTTACATGACTAAATAGAAAAGAATAGATGGGAAAAACAGGTGACTGAGGGGGGAGGGGAATCAGATGCACACCCAAGGGTCATTACAGAGTGTAGAAACAACAAATTGCATTTCTATGCAAACAACTGGAAAATAGGGTTATATCATCCTGCATAAGAGAGAGTAACAACTAAAAGGTGAATTTATGCCAAATCATTCATCAGTTTTTTGCCAAGAGAATACTACATCTTTGTTAGTGAGCCTTTTTTTGACATTTTTCTTCTGGGTTTTCTCCTTTTATATATTCAAATACAGTACATACTAATTACACATTATACCACATAACTTGAATGTTTAGTTTTTTCATATGCAAATATAAATATATGTCTATTTTGTGTATGTGGGTATATACATATATTCTGAAATCACATATTTATACTTTTAAACATAGCCAAAGCAAATATATACATACAATCATAAAAGTGCATTTTTTCAAATTGATAAAATATATTCAAGTCAATTCATACAAGTGTAGCCATATGCTTATTTTTAACAACAAATTCTAAAAGCGAAAATGAGTCACCAAGTTCAGTTTTGACCCATTTCTTAAAAATACTATTTCATATAGAAAAATTATGAACCTATAAAAAGTATAGATATACAAGTCAAAAGGTCTTTTAATTCCATTTGCTTCAGCAAGTCATCTCAAAGATTGGGAACCAAGAGGCTCTGAAATAGAGGCCCCCAGCACAATGAAATCAGTCTGCTCTAAAAGGAGACACATGCCAGTTTCTCCTCCCCAGTGGCAGATGCCACACCCTGAAGCAGACAGAAGGCACTGCAGTCTGTAAGAGAAGCACAACACAAAGCCGGCAGGACTGGGTTTTGTATTTTAAACCACAGAGACTGCTGAAATACCTTTTAAAAAGCATCTTGCTGAAGATAAGTGGTGGGCTCTTATTTATTCAACTTACACTTTTCAAACACATCCTCCCAGGAAAACAAAATTAAAGCCTCTCATAGTTTCATTTTAAAAATCCAGGACTTAATAAACAAAACTGCAATTGTCAGGGGGTCTGTCAGAAAGTGATGAGATAGGTTCACATTTCACAAAAGCACAGTTTGAACTATGGGTTATAATTTCTACTGTCACTTGCCTCAGTTACCCTACATGGCAATTCGACATTATTGTTTTTCTTTTTTTGATTTAAAAAAAAAAATAGTAGAAATCACCGTGTTCATTTTTCCTAATTCCTTATTTTTGGTCCTCTTGCCTAAATTTCAAACCATGATGACAACTCTAATAAGTCGCTCCAGCCACAAAGCAGCCCTGGAGGTGAGGGGCGGGGAAGCTGCTGAGTGGCCACGCTGCGCCTACAGCTGACCTCCCACCCACACGTTGCCCCACGCCCTCGTGTTTAGCCAGAGGATTATCCATTATTTTGTTAAACATTCCTTTTTGGCTACAGAAAGAGTTTAATGGGTTTTTTTTTAACTATATGAAAAATTAATATTCAAATACTGCTCCTTTTCAAAAGTTTTAGGGCCCTGAATAAAGGGACTGTCTGACTTGCCCACTGAAAGAGGATTTAGCCAGATGGTAGTTTAAGACGCCACAGTTCTGTTCTTTGCCTCATCAGAGCCCATCACACTGTTTGCTTTCAGATTAGTCCCCCTTTTCTGTTCTGGTTATTTATTCGATAACTGAAACTATCACGATTCACTACCCATCATATTTCTCAGTATTCTTTACATAATTTGGAAGCAATTTAGAATAAAGCCCTGTCAAGGTTTTACAAATAAGAACTATTAAAGAATAAGGCTTTAGATACTTGCTTTCCTTTTAGATTTATGAGAAATGCGATGAATGGAGCTAATGGGATTTCCCTACTGATCTTGGTCAGGGACTTTAAAAAGCACTAAACAATTGTCCTTTTCACTTCTCTGATTTAGATGTTAGCAGTGAATAACTAAGTGCAAGATATGGGATACAGCACTTGATTTGAAACAACTATGCAAATTAACAGTGGCCTATAGGCGTAAGATGCAAAACAATTAGGGTTTGAAAAAAAATCTAGGCAAAAATAATTTAAATAAGTTAGGGACTCTGACCATCATTAGCATTGTTATACTTAGTAAAAATATTATAGTGGGAATAATAAACCTGGATGAGGGAAAACACTTATTCATTCAAAAAAACTTATCGAGAATTTACTTTATGACATGGGAATTAAGCCCTGGGAATTAAATAACTATTACCTTGGTCCTGTCCTCAGTAGGGGAGATAAACAATGACCCTGAAACATCATGGAGGACTTGGCCAGTTAAGAAGCAGCCTCAGACTTCCCCTCTCAACAGCTTTCCTGCGGCTGTGCCTTGTTGGCTGCCATCGGCGGGCACCTTGCCCTAATCCTCGACCTCGAATGGCTTTTACTTGACAATGGGAACCCACCACTGCTGGAGCCGGACTTCAAGACCTTAAATCAAATTTAATGTTAAACTACTACAATTTCTCTCCAAAGTCCCTAGAAACAAAATAACACCAGCAAAATAAATGAAACACCTTATTACATTTTTAGAACATTGTACTTTTTATCTTACACTAGACTGTCCACATTTTGAATGATGTGTAATAATTACTTTTTGTTACAGCCCAGTTTAGAAATTTTTTGTTACTTTTAGACAAAATGTGTGTTCGATGGCATTTCTTTCATTTTTATTCTCAGTATCGTCCTCATTTCGTTTTGCCATCATCAAAATCACTTATCGAGTACCTATTAGTATAGTTCAATATTCTCTCCTATAATTATATCATGTCATACATATAATCTATTCGGTTTCTATCACTGATAACCAGCTGCTTGGATAAAGGCACCTTATAGATAACTCTAGTTCCTCGAAAATATAAAACTTGGGAAGTAAACATATTTGAGGTTATGAATAATAAGAATACAAAAGGAAGCCATTCGAAGGGCTAGTCACCTCGATTTTCTGGTAAGTTCTCAGTAACTTATCTGAGGGCGTTCTTGGGTTTTTTCAGATGTGATTAATTGCTTCATAATAAATGTCTAAAATGAAATTACTTTTCAAACACAATAAATTCCAAACAA